AGTTGTATTGTAACATTTGCATTTGAACTAGTGTCACATTTGAATATTACCACTCATCGAAGATTTGCTATGCTATTATTTTGAGTGCTACAATTTTTTTAAATAGGGATAAAGTTTGGGGGACCGGGTTGGATGGCCGGCCCCGGTATCACTATCTGTGAATAACTCTAGAGGAGTCTTTTTGTGAAATAACTCTTTGTTACTCGGGATTAGGGATTATAGTCTGGTAAGACAATATCTAAGACCTCACTAGGGGTCGAACCAAGCCAAACCATGGTACGAACCTGGCCTCTATCAAAATTTGCCATAACATGACTAGCACCATTGCCTGTACGACGAATATGAGTAATAGAAGAGTCACATTCCCCCATACTTTGCTTTATCTCTTTGATCAAAAGGGAGTATCTGGAAAAGTTGCTCCCAATGCTTTTCACCATGGATACCGCTTCCAAACAGTCAAACTCAACATCAAATGGTAGAAGACTCCATTGAAGTGCCAAACTAACTCCCTCTCGGATTGCAAGGATTTCTGATTCCAGGACATCTTCACAGGCATCAAGATATCTGTAGGCACTAAAAATGATACTCCCTCCGTCCCAAAATAAGTGTCTCGACTTTGTACTAACTTTAGTACAAAGTTGTACTAAGCTTGAGACACTTATTTTGGGACGCAGGGAGTATATCCTAGGTGGTCCCATAGCACCATACCGACTCCCGCCTTTTCATTCAGTACTGATCCGTCCATATTTAACTTCACCCGCCCTTGACATGGAGGTTGCCACGAGGTGCTAGCAATTGCGGTATTATCACAAGCGGATCGCGCCATTGGAAAACAATGGCTGACCTCCATTTTGCCTTTGACGAAATCTGCATTAGGATCAAGCTTAATACCGACGAGGACTCAAGATAACCTGCCAAGAACCTCGTTGAGACGTCAATGGGCGGAGCTGCTTTTGCGTGAACCACTTCGTTCCATACGTACCACACTCTCCAGAGGAGCATGAGCACACGGACCCGGACATGATCATCTACATCACGCATGAGCTAAATGAATCAGTCACCATGGTGTTTAATACTAGTTAGTTGCAGTTCCCAAATCTTAGACATGGCCTTCCATAGACGCTGGGCATTGTCACAGTCACATAAAACATGAAAAGAATCCTCCTCTTCTCTTCCGTAGACTGAGCATGTACTAAAAACCTCCAGGGATCTCTTTTTATTCAGCCAAGTTGCTAGTGAATTTGTAGCAACACGCCATGCAAAGGAGAGCACTTTGGGTGGTGTTGGACAAGACCAAATCAATTTCCAGATATCTCTTCAACCGTCCAGAGAGCAGCTCGTAGATGGAATTAAGGAGCTGTTAACCTCATCAACAACAAGCCAGTAGGCGATGCAAAAAGAAAAAGACCGTTGCGTTCATGGGCCCAGGCTAAAAAAATCCTCTCCCAAACGGGTGAAGGATGAATCTTACAAATCCCATGTATGTCCACGAGCATAAAAACTGATGTAACTTCACCATATCCCAGTGACCGTTATGATCCATCAAGTCAGATACCCATTTGAGCCGGCATCTTCCTCTGTTTGAGACAAGTGAACCCATGTTACCACGGACAACCCAACGGTCACGCCAGATTCGAACCTTCTTCCCATTAGCAATACGCTAGATAAGTCCTTTCTTTAAGAGCTCGAGCCCATAAGAGACATCTTGCCAAGACTGAGAAGGATTCCTGAGAACACCGTGTCCTCCAACTGTCCACCTGGGTAATACTTGGCTTTGAGCAGCCTTGCACAGAGGCTATCTGGAAAGGCTAAGAGGCGTCAGGCCTGTCTCGCCAGTAGTGCCTGATTGAAAATCCGGAAGTCCCTAAAACCGAGGCCTCCTTGTGATTTAGGATGGGTCATCTTGCGCCAAGCATACCAGTGAGTCTTTCTTTTACCCTTTTTCGCTCCCCAATAATAGTTCCAAACCATACAATTCAGATCATCGCAAACAGCAAGAGGAATCTTGAACACATTCATAATAAAGTAGGAATTGATTGAGCAACTGACTTAACCAAAACTTCTTTACGAGCCCATGTGGGATGTCCATCAAAGGCGAATAAGCGCTTACTCATCTTGACTTGCAGATTTTGAAGCTTACCCTTAGTTAGCTGCCCATCAGGGGTGGTAAGCCCAAGTACTTCTTAAAACCAGAAGCGGTTACACCCAAAATATTTTTAATCGCTTCCATGGTATCTTCCGGGCAGGAGGCCCCAAACAGAATGGTTGATTTAGCGGGGTTTAATAGTTGACCCGTGGCATGCCCATAATCTTGCAATAATTGCCTGATGTAATGAGCTTGCTGCACATTAGTTTGGAAGAATAAAAAAGCGTATCATCCGTGAACAGAAGATGAGAGATTCCTAGGGCTCTTTTGGTAATCTTCAAAGGGGACAAGTCACCTGAGGAAATGCGCTTATTGAATAGAGCAGAGAGACCATCAACGACAAAGAGAAACAAGTACGTGGACAAAGGGTCACCTTGTTGTAGCCCACGCGACGGTGCAAAAGAATCCAAGATGGCTCCATTAAATTTCACGGAATATCTCACCGAGGTTACACATGACATGATCCAATTAACCCCGGTGAGCGAAGCCAAACTTTTTCATCATTTGCTTAAGGTAGTTCTAATCAACCCTGCCATAAGCTTTAAAGAGATCTTGCTTGTAAGCACAAAAACTCTTTGTGGGGGTCTTTCTCCTGCTTAATATGATGAATACACTCAAAAGCGATCAACGAATTATCAGTGATCATCCGTCCCAGGATGAAAGCACTTTGAATAGGAGAAATAGTACCATCAAGCACCGGTCTCAACCGGTTTACCATATATTTTGAGACCATCTTGTAAATTACGTTGCACAAACTAATTGGAGGAAGTTTGTAATTTTGATCGGATTTGGGATTTTAGGAATTAACACTACTATAGCGTTGTTTATCTTGGGTGGCATTATACCAGTACGGAAGAAGTCCTTCACTGCAGCAACGATGCTCTCCTTCACGGTCCCCTAGTTACGCTGAAAAAAACAAGCGGGAAACCCATCGGAGCCTGCTGCCTTCAGAGGACCAATTGAAACAACGCATATGATATCTCCTTCTCAGTGAACTCAGCACACAACATCTCATCTGTTTGACAAGCACGAAAGCATAGAACAAGGAAATTGGAGGACACTAGTGGCAACGTGTTTACAAAAAATGATGAGATGGGGCAGGCGGCTACATGGTATTTCAAACATATATTCTCTGTTGATCCATCCTTGGGCGCAACTCTAGAGGAGCCCATGAACATATACTATATATCAGTGTTGGAGATGCCATTACCTCATTTTTAGATTCGGCCCGGTGGCTGTAATTCTACGCTTGTGAACGTGCAACCATTATGAATAAAGTAGGTTTAATAAAGTGTAAAAAAGACATGAGAGATAGAAGAAAAAAAGCACTACTGGAAAGGTACTAGCCGCCTCCCCTAAAAACTTAGGGTTTCTTGGCCTCCTGCTGGCGCCGCCGTCGGTCCGCCTCGTCTCCGATGGCCTTAGGGCCATGGGAGCAGAGTGGACCCCTGTCCTTATCGGTGGGAGGGCTCTGTTTTTAGATATTTCTTCGAGTTTGGTTAGGGTTGGTGTCCTGCTCAGGAAGATGAAACGGTGGCGGCTTCGTGGAGATGGAATAAGGTTCAACCCGCTCGGGCCCCGTTCCGGTGGTGCTTCTAGCATTGTCGGTTGGCGTGTGGAGATGTGTGTCCGGTAGATCTGTCTTTGGTGAATTTGCTCGGATCTGGTCGTTGTTCGTCTGTGTTCTTGTGTCTTCAGGTTAGATTCTTCTAAACTACGCTACTCTTCATCGGCGACGGTTGCTATTCTGTTGCGTTGGTCCCATGGAGCCTTAGCACGATGACTTCCCGACTGTCTACAACAACAAGTTTTGCCCGGCTCAGGCAACGGAGGGGCGATGACAGCGGCGCACCTTCACCTCGCTTCAGTGCTTGTAGTCGTTGCTAGGTGGTCTAGAAATTAGAAATATGGATGTATGTTTTATTATTTCTAGTGTTTATTGTACTAATATGATTGAAGATGAATATATTGGAAATTTTCATGCAAAAAAAAAGTACTCGTATATTGGACACCAGCATTTTGAGAAAAAAAAACTGGACAGAAAATACATGACCATCGACCAAAAAAT